CTGGAGTATGCGGCCCAGCATGGAACCCGCACCTTGTCAAGCACAAGACGAAGCTGGAAAAAGTTCAGAGGTATGCCACTAGGCTAGTCCCAGAACTAAGAGGCATGAGTTACGAGGAAAGGCTGCGTGAAATGCACCCCACGACACTTGAAGACAGAGAAGGGGAGACATGATCACTATCTACAAAATTTTCAGAGGAATTGACAGGGTAGATAAGGATAAACTGTTTAACTCGGGTGGTACGCGAACAAGGGGACACAGGTGGAGACTGAGCACCCAAATGAGCCACAGGGACGTTATATAGAAAGATGTTTTTCAGTGTCAGAGTAGTTAATGCATTAGGAATGCACCACATCACTTCCTAATGCATGGAATGCACTAGGAAGAAATGTAGTGGAGGCTGACTCCATACACAGCTTCAAGTGTAGATATGATAGAGCCCAGTAGGCTCAGGAACCTGTACACCTGTTGATTGACGGAACCAAACAGCCAGGAGCTCAACCCCCGCAAGCAAGACTAGGTAGAAAACACCTAGTACAACTAGGTGATTACACACACACACACACACACACACACACACACACACACACACACACACACACACACACACACGCACGCACGCCAGACCTGTCTCCTGCAGCACATATCAAGCGGATAACATCAGCGGCATATGCCAGGCTGGCCAACATACGAACGGCATTCAGAAACTTGTGTAAAGAATCATTCAGAACTTTGTATACCACATATGTCAGGCCAATCCTGGAGTATGCAGCCCCAGCATGGAGTCCATATCTAGTCAAGGATAAGACTAAACTGGAAAAGGTTCAAAGGTTTGCCACCAGACTAGTACCCGAGCTGAGAGGTATGAGCTACGAGGAGAGACTACGGGAATTAAACCTCACTTCGCTGGAAGACAGAAGAGTTAGGGGGGACATGATCACCACATTCAAGATTCTGAAGGGAATTGATAGGGTAGATAAAGACAGTCTATTTAACACAAGGGGAACACGCACAAGGGGACACAGGCGGAAACTGAGTGCCCAAATGAGCCACAGAGATATTAGAAAGAACTTTTTTAGTGTCAGAGTGGTTGACAAATGGAATGCATTAGGAAGTGATGTGGTGGAGGCTGACTCCATACACAGTTTCAAGTGTAGATATGACAGAGCCCGATAGGCTCAGGAATCTGTACACCTGTTGATTGACGGTTGAGAGGCGGGACCAAAATGCCAGAGCTCAACCCCCGCAAACACAACTAGGTGAGTACACACACACACACACACACACACACACACACACACACACACACACACACACACACAGCTACTACACAGTCACATCAGGAGGAAGTCAACAGTGAAGGAACAGGTGATGAAACTTAGGGTGGGCGAGGATAGGTACACAGAGAATGACAAAGAGGTGTGTGAAGACTCAACAAAAGGTTCCAGGAGGTCTTTACAATAGAACAGGGAGAAGTCACGGCGCTAGGAGAGGTGGCAGCAAACCAGGTGACCTTGGAACGGTTCGAAATTACAAGAGATGAGGTCAAGAAGCACCTATTGGAGCTGGATGTGAGAAAAGCTGTTGGGCCGGATGGAATCTCACCATGGGTATTGAAAGAGTGTGCAGGAGCACTTTGCTTGCCACTCTTCATAGTGTATAGTAGGTCACTGGAAACGGGAGACCTACCAGAAATATGGAAGACTGCTATTGTAGTACCAATATTTAAAAAGGGTGACAGACAAGAGGCACTGAACTACAGGCCAGTGTCCTTAACTTGTATATCATGCAAGGTGATGGAGAAGATTGTGAGAAAAAACCAAGTAACACATCTGGAGAGAAGAGACTTCATGACAACCCATCAACATGGGTTCAGGGAAGGTAAATCTTGCCTTACAGGCTTGATAGAATTCTACGATCAGGTGACAAAGATTAAGCAAGAAAGAGAAGGATGGGCGGACTGCATTTTTTTGAACTGTCGGAAAGCCTTTGACACAGTACCCCATAAAAGGTTGATGCATAAGCTGGAGTGTTACGGACCCGAGTCCAGCGTCGTAGTACGGAGCTGTGACGACAACGCCATCTGTGAGTCAGCTCCCGAAACCCCCTCCAAATGAACGACGCCATCTAGCGAGGGCAGGATATACCGGCCACAGGGGCTGGTTTCGCGTCTTAATCAGCTCGTAACATAGCCGCTGCTGACCTCTGGTGAGGTGGTGCTTAGACTGCAACGCCATCTATGGAGTGGATAGGTGGACGGTTGTGTCTAAGCCTGTAAGTGAGGTGCCCTAGAGTGTCCTTAGTACTAATGACGTGTCTGATTACAGAGTCGACCTGGGACTGCTGTATCGGACGATGGGGCAGTCTACCCAAGGCAGCCATAGTCTCTCCACGAGTTTGCTCTGAGGAAGCTGTGAGTCACCCCCGGACGGGCACAGTTGAGTGTGTTAGCCTGCCTGTGACGTGGCAGTACCAGGATTCGTCTTATCTGGGGGCTGGCTGGTGGAAGAGACTAGCCACTGTGGTGAGGAGAGTGATCTGCGGAATCACACGAGGCTCTTGCCTAGGGCTCGCAACCCTCGTATCGGTCGTGGAGTGGCCTACACAGCGAAGCTGATTGGAACCTGCCAGCTACAGGCTGGATTTGTGGTTGAAGGCCTCCACGACGGTGCACCCAGTGGGACTGTGATTTGGCTGGCCTGTGGCCAGGGTAGATTCGCCGAGAGAATCAGAGGATTCATCGTGGGCCACGACGAAGAGAACCAGGGCTACTCATCTTGAGCACCGTGGAGCATCCTGTGTCTTCAGAGGAAGATTAATTTGTATATAATAAGTGTAGTTATAGCAACCCCGCGTGTGACTGTGATATATTTATGGTGGTGGTAGCAATATATATACAAAAGCAGTGCATTTGTATCCCTTCCCCTTTAATTCAACTTGCTTTACGGAACGCACCCCTTGAAAGCCACTACTAGCTTGGGGCAGGATACCCAAACTCTAATAACATCAGAGAAGAACCCAGTTGCGACCCAATAGGACCGTAACATGGAGAAACAGGCAGGAGTAACTGGTAGGGCGCTCCAGTGGATAAGGGAGTACCTAAGCAATAGGAAGCAGAGAGTTACAGTGAGGGGTGAGACCTCAGAATGGCGAGAAGTCACCAGTGGAGTCCCACAGGGCTCTGTACTTGGACCTATCCTGTTTCTGATATACGTAAATGATCTCCTAGAGGGTATAGACTTATTCCTCTCAATGTTTGCTGACGACGCCAAAATTATGAGAAGGATTAAGACAGAGGAGGACAGCTTGAGGCTTCAAGAAGACCTGGACAAGCTGCAGGAATGGTCGAACAAATGGCTGTTAGAGCTTAACCCAAGCAAATGTAATGTGACGAAGATAGGGGTAGGAAGCAGGAGACCAGATACAAGGTATCACTTGGGAGATGAAATACTTCAAGAGTCAGAGAGAGAGAAAGACCTGGGGGTTGATATCACGCCAGTCCTGTCCCCTGAAGCTCATATCAAGAGGATAACATCAGCAGCATATGCCAGGTTGGCTAACATAAGAACGGCCTTTAGAAACTTGTGTAAGGAATCTTTCAGAACATTATATACCACATATGTCAGACCAATCCTGGAGTATGCGGCACCAGCATGGAGTCCATATCTAGTCAAGCATAAGACTAAAATGGAAAAGGTTCAAATGTTTGCCACCAGACTAGTACCCGAGCTGAGAGGTATGAGCTACGAGGAGAGACTACGGGAATTGAACCTCACTTCGTTGGAAGACAGAAGAGTTAGGGGGGGACATAATCACCACATTCAAGATTCTCAAGGGAATCGAGAGGGTTGATAAAGACAGGCTATTTAACACAAGGGGAACACGCACTAGGGGACACAGGTGGAAACTGAGTGCCCAAATGAGCCACAGAGATATTAGAAAGAACTTTTTTAGTGTCAGAGTGGTTGACAAATGGAATGAATTAGGAAGTAATGTGGTGGATGCTGACTCCATACACAGTTTCAAGTGTAGATATGATAGAGCCCAATAGGCTCAGGAACCTGTACACCTGTTGATTGACGGTTGAGAGGCGGGACCAAAGAGCCAGAGCTCAACCCCCGCAAGCACAACTAGGTGAGTACAACTAGGTGAGAACACACACGCACACACACACTAGGAAGAACAATATACCGCTTTTCATTACAATAATCAAACCGTTTATATATTTTTTACACATACGATAACAAATGATGAATAATAATCATTTTTAAAATACACGACAGGTAGACCGACTGACAGGTTGACAGACAGACAGACAGACAGACAGACAGACAGACAGACAGACAGACAGACAGACAGACAGACAGACAGACAGACAGACACTGACAGACAGAAAGGTAGACAGACAGTTAGAGAGGAGAAAGTATGGGTGAGAGACGGTGGGAGTTCTCAGAGTGGGGGGCCATCAAGACTTCCAATAAACAAATGTGTGTTCCAGCAGTCGCCGGCAGCTCTCCTTAATTACCCTGACTAAACCAACTGTGAGTCAGACTCTGGGTCAGTCTTAAGTGGCCAGCTGGTCCCCTGTTGTGATTGGCACCCACTTTCACCACCACTGTGGTCGCCACCACTATGGTCGCCACCACTGTGGTCGCCACCACTATGGTCGCCACCACTGTGGTCGCCACCACTATGGTCGCCACCACTATGGTCACCTCTACTATGGTCGCCACCACTGTGGTCGCCACCACTACGGTCACCTCTACTATGGTCGCCACCCCTATGGTCGCCACCACTATGGTCGCCACCACTATGGTCACTTCTACTATGGTCGCCACCACTATTGTCACCTCTACTATGGTCGCCACCACTATGGTCGCCACCACTAAGGTCGCCACCACTATGGTCGCCACCACTATGGTCACCTCTACTATGGTCGCCACCACTATGGTCGCCACCACTATGGTCGCCACCACTATGGTCGCCACCACTATGGTCGCCACCACTATGGTCGCCACCACTATGGTCACCTCTACTATGGTCGCCACCACTATGGTCGCCACCACTATGGTCGCCTCTACTATGGTCGCCACCACTATGGTCGCCTCCACTATGGTCGACTCCACTATGGTCGCCACCACTATGGTCGCCTCTACTATGGTCGCCACCACTATGGTCGCCACCACTATGGTCGCCACCACTATGGTCGCCTCCACTATGGTCGCCACCACTATGGTCGCCACCACTATGGTCGCCACCACTATGGTCGCCACCACTATGGTCGCCTCTACTATGGTCGCCACCACTAGGGTCACCTCTACTATGGTCGCCACCACTATGGTCGCCACCACTATGGTCGCCTCTACTATGGTCGCCACCACTATGGTCGCCTCCACTATGGTCGACTCCACTATGGTCGCCACCACTATGGTCGCCTCTACTATGGTCGCCACCACTATGGTCGCCACCACTGTGGTCGCCTCCACTGTGGTCGACTCCACTGTGGTCGCCACCACTGTGGTCGCCACCACTGTGGTCGCCACCACTGTGGTCGCCACCACTGTGGTCGCCACCACTGTGGTCGCCACCACTGTGGTCGCCACCACTGTGGTCGCCACCACTGTGGTCGCCACCACTGTGGTCGCCACCACTATGGTCGCCACCACTATGGTCGCCACCACTATGGTCGCCACCACTATGGTCGCCACCACTATGGTCGCCACCCCTATGGTCGCCACCCCTATGGTCGCCACCCCTATGGTCGCCACCACTGGGGTCGCCACCACTGGGGTCGCCACCACTGGGGTCGCCACCACTGGGGTCGCCACCACTGGGGTCGCCACCACTGGGGTCGCCACCACTGGGGTCGCCACCCCTATGGTCGCCACCACTGGGGTCGCCACCACTGGGGTCGCCACCACTGGGGTCGCCACCACTGGGGTCGCCACCACTGGGGTCGCCACCACTGGGGTCGCCACCACTGGGGTCGCCACCCCTATGGTCGCCACCCCTATGGTCGCCACCACTATGGTCGCCACCACTATGGTCGCCACCACTTGGGTCGCCACCACTGGGGTCGCCACCACTGGGGTCGCCACCACTGGGGTCGCCACCACTATGGTCGCCACCACTATGGTCGCCACCACTATGGTCGCCACCACTATGGTCGCCACCACTATGGTCGCCACCACTGGGGTCGCCACCACTGGGGTCGCCACCACTGGGGGTCGCCACCACTGGGGGTCGCCACCACTGGGGTCGCCACCACTGGGGTCGCCACCACTGGGGTCGCCACCACTGGGGTCGCCACCACTGGGGTCGCCACCACTGGGGTCGCCACCACTGGGGTCGCCATCACTGGGGTCGCCACCACTGGGGTCGTCACCACTGGGGTCGTCACCACTGGGGTCGCCACCACTGGGGTCGCCACCACTATGGTCGCCACCACTGGGGTCGCCACCACTGGGGTCGCCACCACTGGGGTCGCCACCACTGGGGTCGCCACCACTGGGGTCGCCACCACTGGGGTCGCCACCACTGCGGTCGCCACCACTGCGGTCGCCACCACTGGGGGCGCCACCACTGGGGTTGCCACCACTGGGGTCGCCACCACTGGGGTCGCCACCCCTATGGTCGCCACCCCTATGGACGCCACCACTATGGTCGCCACCACTATGGTCGCCACCACTGGGGTCGCCACCACTGGGGTCGCCACCACTGGGGTCGCCACCACTATGGTCGCCATCACTATGGTCGCCACCACTATGGTCGCCACCACTATGGTCGCCACCACTATGGTCGCCACCACTATGGTCGCCACCACTATGGTCGCCACCACTAGGGTCGCCACCACTAGGGTCGCCACCACTGGGGTCGCCACCACTATGGTCGCCACCACTGGGGTCGCCACCACTGGGGTCGCCACCACTAGGGTCGCCACCACTGGGGTCGCCACCACTGGGGTCGCCACCACTATGGTCGCCACCACTATGGTCGCCACCACTATGGTCGCCACCACTATGGTCGCCACCACTGGGGTCGCCACCACTGGGGTCGCCACCACTAGGGTCGCCACCACTAGGGTCGCCACCACTAGGGTCGCCACCACTAGGGTCGCCACCACTAGGGTCGCCACCACTGGGGTCGCCACCACTGGGGTCGCCACCACTAGGGTCGCCACCACTAGGGTCGCCACCACTAGGGTCGCCACCACTAGGGTCGCCACCACTAGGGTCGCCACCACTAGGGTCGCCACCACTAGGGTCGCCACCACTATGGTCGCCACCACTGGGGTCGCCACCACTGGGGTCGCCACCACTAGGGTCGCCACCACTAGGGTCGCCACCACTAGGGTCGCCACCACTAGGGTCGCCACCACTAGGGTCGCCACCACTAGGGTCGCCACCACTAGGGTCGCCACCACTATGGTCGCCACCACTATTGAACTCACGCCTCTATCGTCTTCCTTCCTGAGTGGTGTGAACTGATCCGTTGTCTTGGCACATTTCCCAGCAACTAATTCCATCATCTCGTTTGCTGTCTTCTCTTCCACATCTCTTTCCCGGTGAAGTTCTCGCAGGAAGTCCCTCATGCTGTTGTAGTCCCTAAGTCTATCATTTCTCTTCTTCTTCTTTAGCGGGTTTCTATGTGTAACCAACTCCTTCAGCCCCACTGAGTATTTAGGCATGACAATACAAAGATTACCAGCTCCTGAAACCATGTCATACTCTATTTTCTCAACACCTGCTTCATTTTTGGGAAAACACCAAGTTTAGTGTTGCTGATACGTCTTCTCCTCTTACTCCTGTTGGTTATGTGACATGTTGCTGTGAGAAGTGTTTATCTGCGGCGTCTACCAGTTTTACTCTCCATGTCTCGTCACCCCCGCGGGTAATCTTTATTTACTAAGTCTACTCCCCTGTGGTTGAAGTCCCCCAGTATTTGGATTTTAGTTTTCGTTTCCCTTGGTACTGTGGCTGCTTTTTCCATAACCTTTAGAGAATTCTCACTGCATCTATCGTATTCTTCTCTAGACCTTCAATTGTTTAGTAGGGGGATTGTAAGTCACTGCTACCACAATCTTCACGCATCCTAGTGTAGCTATTCCTAACACACACTCTTGCTGGTCAGATTCCTCTGCTAGTTTTACTTCTTCAAAGCTCCACTGTAGCTGGAGGAACAGGGCTACACCGCTTTCCCCTCTGTTAATGTCTCTATCTCTTCTTACTACGTGATACCCTCCTGGGAAGACTGCATTTCCAATAACACTTGTCAGTTTAGTTTCCATTTTCGTGATCATGTGTGGTTGTATTTCCTACAAATATACTCCTTTATTTGCAATTCCATCTGCATTTGCGTTCATTTCTTTTATACTACTCATGACAATTGAGATGTTTTTGTTTCCCCGGAAAGATATTTGTTCACGTGACTGCATTTCTGTGTTTGATAGGGGGATGGGGGTATGGTGGACCAGTCACTGTAGCTAGGTCACCTACTCATTTGTGTTGATGCATCAGTAGGCAGTGCAGCCCTATTACCTGTCTCTGAATCTGTTGCATTGTTAGACTGGTCTGCCCCACTCTTTCCCTGTGTTCTACTCTCTGTTGCCATTCCCTGGTCTTCTTCCACTTCTCATTTGCTTTTCTTCGCTGAATCTCTTTCCTCCCTTTTATCCTTAGACATATCCTGTTTAATCAACATTGAATGTTACTTTTCCTGAAATATCTCTTCTCTACTAATATATTTTTAACCGTTTGCTGGATCATAAAAAATAACTTTCACTGGACGATTTCTTTCTCTATAAAATTAACCTAGTCTGCAGAACTGCTCTATTTTCCATGATACATTTTCTGACTGAATTTCATGAAGAATTTTTGTTACATCATTTTGTTCTCTTCTTATTTGTCATATATCTGTCCCAAGTAGGTTGCATATTACTACTGATCTCTCCCTCTCCAACTCCTGGCGTGAACAGTTCATGACTTGGGTAGCGTTTATACACCTTTAACACTGTTGCCTTAATGTTCTTTCCCTCGGAACCTTTTGCTGCTTCAACAAAACGGTTTTCTCCTGCCCTTACTCCCCCAAATACTCGGCTGTATTCTATATTTCTTTAATTCTCTCCTCTGTTATCGTATTAGCTTCCTTTGTTGCCTTTTCTTCCCCTTCCACCGTTTCTATTCTGTTCTGTAACTTATTCACACTTGCCACCCTTTTGTGATTTGTTTCCTTAAGTTTTTTTTACTTGATGCAGTGTTGCAATGCAGAGTTCGTTATCCCCTGTAAAGTTTCACTTTAAAGTGGTGCAGGTGGTAGTGGTGGTGTAGGTGGTGGTGGTGGTGGTTGTGGTGGTGTAGGGGATGGTGTTGGAGGTGGTTGTGGTGGTGTAGGTGGTTGTCGTGGTGCAGGGGGTAATGGTGGTGCAGGGGGTAATGGTGGTGAAGGTGGTGTATGTGGAGGTGGGGGTGGGGGTGGTGGTCGTGGAGTTGGTGGTGGTGGTGGTGGTGGTGGTGGTGGTGAAGGTGGTGGTGAAGGTGGTGGTGGTGGTGGTGAAGATGGTGGTGAAGTTGGTCGTGGTGGTAAAGTTGGTGGTGGTGATGGTTGTGGTGGTGTAGGGGGTGGTGATGGATGTAGAGGTGGTGGTGGTGGAGGCAGAAGGGGTGGTGATGTTGATGGTTCTTACGTAACAATGAGTGGTAGTTGTTAACCACCTGTACGAGTATTTCAATAACTCATTTGTTTCGTTTAATGTCATTTTGTAGTGACATTAAAGTCACTATAAAAGTCCCCGTAGCGAGATAAAATCCCATTTTGTAGAAAGTGGCATTTTATATCAATTTAAATTGGCCTCTGACAACATTATCCTTTCTTCTCAGTATTTTGTATGTAGTGAACATATCTCCTCTGTTTTTCTCTCCTCTATGGTGGTGAGATTGAGATTCGTTACAGTCTAATGCAGATTGATGCCGATGCTTCGTGTTACAGTAATGACCTTCAATTATCTTAATTGTCAATATAAAGGATTTTGAATCCTTTATTTGAATCTTTTATATGGTGCTTGAATGATATTCTTATGTTGTACTACTCACATGTGCTTCTCTTACTGGTGTTGGAATTGTGGGATATATGTATCGTTATCTCATTCCTCATGTTTTTCATTACCTTACACTTGTAACTGTTCAACTCTATCAGCCATTTTTCTGCACAAGCCTGACATTTACGACGATCGACTTGGAATTATTTGCATTCCTCCGCGGGGTTATAAGTTTCCCCTTAGTTGTGCATCATGTACGAACGGCCTCCCCCCCTCACTCGGGATGAGTTAATATAAATTGGGAACAGCAATGATCCAAGGACCGAGTCTTTGGGACCCCTCCCCCCCATGGGCGTGAGAGGTCACTCCCTGTCACACGCCAGAGGTCACTCACTGTCACACGCCAGAGGTCACTCACTGTCACACGCCAGAGGTCACTCACTGTCACACGCCAGAGGTCACTCACTGTCACACGCTAGAGGTCACTCACTGTCACACGCTAGAGGTCACTCACTGTCACACGCCAGAGGTCACTTACTGTCACACGCCAGAGGTCACTTACTGTCACACGCCAGAGGTCACTCACTGTCACACGCCAGAGGCTCACAAACACAGTCCAACACCTGTCTGTACCACGACTCACTAACACAGTTCAACACCTGTCTGTACCACGACTCACTAACACAGTCCAACACCTGTCTGTACCACGACTCACTAACACAGTCCAACACCTGTCTGTACCACGACTCACTAACACAGACCAACACCTGTCTGTACCACGACTCACTAACACAGTCCAACACCTGTCTGTACCACGACTCACTAACACAGTCCAACACCTGTCTGTACCAAGGCAGGGGAAGGTGTTGTTCTCAGCATGATAACAGGAGCCACAAGTCGCCTGCTCCTGTCAATAAAACAAGATATCAGCGTTATGTTGCGTTCTATGGTCGAGATAACATGGATATTATAATATGGTTATGTGGTGAGTGTCGTGGGGCAGAGCCGCTTGGGCACTATTCCCTCTGCTTCTCTCTTCTGGTCATGGTTGTGGTGCTTGTGGTGGTGGTGCTTGTGGTGGTGGTTGTGCTTGTGGTGGTGGTGCTTGTGGTGGTGGTTGTGCTTGTGGTGGTGGTTGTGCTTGTGGTGCTTGTGGTGGTGGTTGTGCTTGTGGTGGTGGTGCTTGTGGTGGTGGTTGTGCTTGTGGTGGTGGTTGTGCTTGTGGTGGTGGTTGTGCTTGTGGTGGTGGTGCTTGTGGTGGTGGTGGTGCTTGTGGTGGTGGTGGTGCTTGTGGTGGTGGTGGTGCTTGTGGTGGTGGTGGTGCTTGTGGTGGTGGTGGTGCTTGTGGTAGTGGTGGTGCTTGTGGTAGTGGTGGTGCTTGTGGTGGTGGTGCTTGTGGTGGTGGTGCTTGTGGTGGTGGTGCTTGTGGTGGTGGTGCTTGTGGTGGTGGTGCTTGTGGTGGTGGTGCTTGTGGTGGTGGTGCTTGTGGTGGTGGTGCTTGTGGTGGTGGTGGTGCTTGTGGTGGTGGTGGTGCTTGTGGTGGTGGTGGTGCTTGTGGTGGTGGTGGTGCTTGTGGTGGTGGTGGTGCTTGTGGTGGTGGTGGTGCTTGTGGTGGTGGTGGTGCTTGTGGTGGTGGTGGTGCTTGTGGTGGTGGTGCTTGTGGTGGTGGTGCTTGTGGTGGTGGTGCTTGTGGTGGTGGTGCTTGTGCTGGTGGTGCTTGTGGTGGTGGTGCTTGTGGTGGTGGTGCTTGTGGTGGTGATGGTGCTTGTGGTGGTGGTGGTGCTTGTGGTGGTGGTGGTGCTTGTGGTGGTGGTGGTGCTTGTGGTGGTGGTGGTGCTTGTGGTGGTGGTGCTTGTGGTGGTGGTGCTTGTGGTGGTGGTGGTGCTTGTGGTGGTGGTGGTGCTTGTGGTGATGGTGCTTGTGGTGGTGGTGCTTGTGGTGATGGTGCTTGTGGTGATGGTGCTTGTGGTGCTTGTGGTGGTGGTGCTTGTGGTGGTGCTTGTGGTGGTGGTGGTGCTTGTGGTGGTGGTGGTGCTTGTGGTGGTGGTGGTGCTTGTGGTGGTGGTGCTTGTGGTGGTGGTGCTTGTGGTGGTGGTGCTTGTGGTGGTGGTGCTTGTGGTGGTGGTGCTTGTGGTGGTGGTGCTTGTGGTGGTGGTACTTGTGGTGGTGGTGCTTGTGGTGGTGGTGCTTGTGGTGGTGGTGCTTGTGGTGGTGCTTGTGGTGGTGGTGCTTGTGGTGGTGGTGCTTGTGGTGGTGCTTGTGGTGGTGCTTGTGGTGGTGGTGGTGCTTGTGGTGGTGATGGTGCTTGTGGTGGTGCTTGTGGTGGTGGTGCTTGTGGTGGTGATGGTGCTTGTGGTGGTGCTTGTGGTGGTGGTGCTTGTGGTGGTGGTGCTTGTGGTGATGGTGCTTGTGGTGGTGGTGGTGCTTGTGGTGGTGGTGGTGGTGCTTGTGGTGGTGGTGGTGCTTGTGGTGGTGGTGGTGCTTGTGGTGGTGGTGCTTGTGGTGGTGGTGCTTGTGGTGGTGGTGCTTGTGGTGGTGGTGCTTGTGGTGGTGGTGGTGGTGCTTGTGGTGCTTGTGGTGGTGGTGCTTGTGGTGGTGGTGCTTGTGGTGGTGGTGCTTGTGGTGGTGGTGGTGCTTGTGGTGGTGGTGGTGCTTGTGGTGGTGGTGGTGCTTGTGGGTGGTGGTGC